AAAAAAAAAAAAAAGAAAAAAAAATGCTAAGGGTGAGACGGCTTCTCTCCGTCCAACAAGTCTCCGCCTCAGGCGCGTGGGTGGGCGCGCCTCTCCCGAGAACGCTTGTCACTGGCGATGCGCTCAGGCTCAGGTGGCCGTGGTGCCACAAAATGCAGGCTTCCCAGAACTGGCCAGAAGGGAGGGGTGCTGGGCTTCTCGGCCACCCGCCACCCAGGCCTCCCTGGGCCTCCTGCGGCGTCTGATTAGCACGACTCCCATTGTGAAGCCCCTGGGGTCCGTGCTGGCAGCTGGGGAGGCGCGCGTCCTCTACCTTGGAGAAGAAGTTGATGCTATAGGTGATGGTGCGCATGGTCACGGGGTGGCCCCGGATGAAGAAGCCCCCGAAGTACACGCGGTCCAGGCTGTGCAGCCGCGCGTGCAGGCAGGCCAGCTGCCCGATGTCATTGCTGATCATGTGCAGCAGGCTCTTGGCCATGTCTTCTTTGGAGAACTCTGAGGAGAAAGAAAGGGTGCTCGACCCCCGGTGTGGCACCCAGTCAGCCTTCATGCCTCAGAAACAGTGCCTGCACTGCCCCTGTGCGACGTGAGAGCAGGTGGAGGGGTGGGGGAGGGAGAGCCGAGTGGGAGAAGCGGAGCCAGCGCGCGGGAGGCTGCATGTGATGCCTGAATCATTCCTGGACGCGTTAGGCTTTGTTTTCAAGGAAGATAAAAACCCCAAACTGCTTCTCCTAACTCGTAGGAACTGTTCTTTCTTCCAAAACCAAGAGTGGTGTTTTATTTCCTGATGTTCTGAGCACGAGGCTGACTCTCCAAGGAGCAGGTGTGGGAAAGTGACGGCAGGGGAAGCTCCGTGTCCACGAGACCCCAAGTGTGCCCACCGCCCTGCCCGCTGACAGCAGAGGCCGGGTGGGTACCTTGGTCGGCAGTGGCTGACTTCCCGAAGCTGCTGGCAATGAGGTTCCCGCTCAGCCCAAGCGTCTGGTGGGCGCCACCGTAGACGTCCCGCACCAGCATGTCCACGTTGCTGTGCTGGCCTCTTGAAGCCAGCTGCAGCAGCTCGTCGAACTTCTGCAGGACACGGCGAGGGGGCGGGTGAGGGCCCCGACAGGAAGGCCACAGGAGGCGGCATGGGTGGGCAGGGGGCGAATGGGCCCTCATCACGCAGAACCAAAGGCAGGAGGCAAGCGGACCCTGAGGGCCACCCAGCCAGGAGAGACTCTGACCGCTAGGACACCCGGGCTTCAGGGCGGTACTGAGGAGGCCAGAGACCCATGGACGCATGTGGAAGGGAGGCTGGGAAGCAGCTTTGGCACCTCCCAGCAGGCAGCCCTGGAGGAACAGGACGTGGACATTCCCACAGACCCCGGAGCACTCGTGGCAGCCACTGTGTACCTTGGTTTTGGTGAGCAGAGCCCCGAGCCCCCAGAATGTGCCGCCTCCGATGGAGCTGCCGCCGACCCACTCGAACCTGTCCTCCGTCTCCACCTACAGCACAGCCAGGGCGGGCGCGTCACGGCGGGCCCTCAGCCACGCAGGCTCCCTGGTGTGCCGTGCTCAGGGGCATCCCACTCCCACCCTGAGGACTGCCAGGGGGAGGACACTCTTGAAGGCCAAGCCTGGGGTGCTGATGCCCCTCCAACAGCGGCTCCAAGCTCACGGCCTCGCCGCCGTGCCCAGCCCTGGCTCCTGCACATGGCAGGCACTTCACAATCTGTGGCTGAACCACCCACTCATCCCTTTCACAAAGCCGGGCCTCACCTTCACGATAGAGACTCCAGAGCCGATATTGACGAGCAGATAGGGGAAGATGTGGGGGTGGTTGGTCTGGAACCGGAACTCAGGGTCAGCATCCTTCTGGTACACGAAGGCCTCGTGGGGGATGTTCTTGAGCACGAAGTTGCAGCCCTTAATCAGGCAGGTCATCACATCCTCCTTGTCGACTCTGAAAGGGAATTGCCGACCCCCTCAAGAGTCCAGGCCACAGAAGGCAGCGACCACAGGAGCCTGCCTGGTCCACAGCGGGGCTGGGCCTGATGCACCATCTAACACGCGAGCACCAGGGACGTGGCTCGGGGACGCCCAGGGACTCGGGGGCAGCCGCACGCTCCTTCCTCGCCCTCGAGGTCCCCACTCACTTCAGCTGCAGCTTCTCTTCGATGAGGTCCTTGAACTTGTAGGCCCCGCCCCCGGTGGCCTGGATGACCTTGGTCTCTGTGTTGACCAGGTGGTCTTTGATGAAGTCCAGGCAGGCTTCAATGTAAGTATTCTCAAACTTAATGAAGTGCAGCCGAGCCGTGATCTCTTCTTGAACCGAAATCTCATAGGGCGGCTCGTGATCACATTCTGTGTCCTGGAAAGCAAAGCAGGGGAGGCCTCATGGGTGTGGGCACCGCGCTGGGCTGAGCCATGCGCACCCTGCCCTGGTGGCGCTGGCCATTCGCGCCAACCTTCAACCAGGCAGGGCTCCAAGGCAGAATTCTGGGCCAGAGAGAGGAGCCCAGGATGGTGGGGACCTCAGGGCCACCCAGTGGGAGCAGAAGCCTTCCCCTGGGGAAGGCAGGGGAAGCTGTCTGTGCTAGAAGCTCCCAGGACACTGAAGCTGAGGTCGGCAGCAGCAGCGGCGGCAGGGTGACTGAGTGACAAGTGCCGGGCCCATGGAGAAGCAGCCCCGCCCTGGGCCTCAGGCGCGCCCAGCCTGCCCCCTGGCGGCCACAGCGCAGGCTCACCTTTCCTGAGTGGTCGAAAGAGCGCACTTTGGCGACTTTGTGCTGCACGGTGGAGTAGTAAGCCAGCTTGGTCAGCGACCCGCCTGCAGGGGGACACAAAGGGGACAGGTGGGGGCCTGCGGTCCAGCCTGGTCAGCGACCCGCCTGCAGGGGGACACAAAGGGGACGGGTGGGGGCCTGC